ATCCCGCCATGAACGTCCTTAGAGCTGATGTTCCGCGTGCTTATATGTCCCTCTCAAGGGGTCTTCGGGCTAGTGCTTGCAGATATGCCGCTGCCTCAGTGCATACCGCTGGTATGCGTTTTTAACATTAACCTTTCCGTTAGTTTGCGCCCCCCGACCGGCTTATACTTTGAACTCGTCTGAGCTGCCCTCTGAGGTTCTCCCTCAGTTCTCTGGTTGTGAAGTTATCCAACCGATGACCGCGAGTCCGAGTGTGCAGCAGCAGACCCAGCCTACGTCGGCCGCTACAGCTCCTCTTAGCCAGGACATTGTCCAGGTAGGCAGTAACATGTTTCAAAACCGGTCTCCTCTAAGCCTTTCTCTGTCATGTTTTGTTACTGAACGCCACAAGCACAGTAATCTTCTGACCGAAGTTGAACGCTCGCCTGTGTAATCCCTACGATCGCACACAGTTATCTTATTATCTCGACCAACTTCTGCCTCTTTACTATTTTTCTACGTAAATTCTATATTTCGATATGCCGTAGCTTCCGTCCCATTTTTTATTAGGTGCATGACATCGTCCTAACGTCCAATTACAAGTTGTGTCATAAATAAGATGATAAGTTCCCCGTTCCTTGCTTAAATTTCGATCTCCTGCCGCCGTCACTTTCGCAGTATGTACTACCGCAGTTGGTTTCGGTTTCCCTGATTCGTAAATCTCTTCAACCACCATTTAGTAAATAAGTGCTCTGATTGTGTCAGGGTTGTATTTTAGAAAATGCTTTTAAATAGTAAAATTCCGCTTCAACGGTCTCGTGTATGCACCACAACCCTAGCGATCAGCAGAAAATACTGACAGTGGTGATCAGCGTTCATAAGTACAACAAAAGTATTTTGAATTGCTCCCAGACTGAAGGCTGATCATGTGTGGACCGCCAAAATACGACTGATGTACAAGACTGTTATAAACTGACCATTAAGTAGGAGGCCCAAAAGACTACAGAAATGTGACTTCAAAAGGCATGCTGTATTAGCAGAAGTTGGTTTCGACACCTGTTCAGGACGTTCCATCGACTTCCCATCTATGAGTCCTGGCCATGTTCTTTGCTAATCTTTTGCATGTGTGGACGGAGGATGAGGCCGTCGGGTGCTTTTGATAAGATAGAGACCGTCTCTCTGCCGACTCCAATGACCTTGCCAGATCAAACGCATTCTTAGTGTTTTGTCTTCTCCGCTAATCTGCCAGATCTAATATAACAAAAGGCCTCTGATAAAAACGTTTCTGATATCACGATTTTGTTCTGCTGCAATAGCTTTAAAATCACGATCTTTAGCCTAAAACCTAAGTATTTGAGCGAACTCGTCGAGGGTTTGTCCACCTTGTCTGCAGATCGCTAGAGCTTTGTTTTTTTCTTATTTCTACTTAATCTTAGGTAGGGGTCTTCCAATCACCCAACAGCGCTTTTGCCACTAGAAAATTTACTAATACATTCCGAGGTTGCCGGGAAACGTGATTAATCAGAACGCCAAATTTTTTCGGTTGCAAACTTTCGGTCGTAGTCATGAGATTTTCAAACTTACAAAAGCAATGGTTAAATTTTTTAGGAGTCTGAAGAATTTGGATCAACATCGAGTCTTTCTAATTTAAGAAATTGACCTACTATTAAGTTCTCAGATGAATAAGTTGTTGTAAATAGAATAGTTACAATCACATGACTAGGTTAACACGAACAAAATGCGATGAATACCTAGAAAAGGGCTCATTCATCTTGCAATTGACCTATCCAAACTAGAACGAGAAACAGAACGGTAGTTAATTAGATAGAGTTGTGTCATGGTAATAAGTTGGCATGATAGTCACCATGTGTAGACGTGAATAACTAAGTACCTACTCTGGTATTTTTTACGCATAGTTTGAATTTCTCCGGATAAGGTGCTTAGATCATCACTATTAAGATAATTTCAGAAAATATACTCATTTTTTTATTTTGCGAACGGCCTTCTCAGCCTAAGTTGTGCTGACAATCCATTAAATGCTGCCTCATTTTTGTTTAGGAGGCACTCCCTGGAGTCACCCCGCTTATTCCGGCCGTTGATTCCGACAGCCTGGATTGTCAAGTTACTACCTGCTCTCCGGAAGTGGCGTCAGGTAAGATTTAAAAGTTTACATGCTTACACGACCAGAGTTCGCACCACTCTTCCCTGGCAAGAACCTCGGCAAGCTCACTGCTGTGACACTTGCCCACCGAACTAACTGCAACATCTTCGACTGGAACGAAGAAATGGCCGCCGAACGTGAACAGTTGGCCGAATACGTACTTTCAAGTTTCACTCTTACTGATCACTTTTTAGTTTTCTGAGGCTGCCCGTGAGATGTGCACCTATCTGACCAACCAAGGATACTGGGCCGATTATATTGACCCGTACACCAGCCAGCCGGTAAGGAATACTATTTAAATATTGTTGACAGACGCCTTTTATGCTCATCTTCCATGGTCACTTTTGCTGGGCTTATCCCCTAGTCGCCAGGTTCGAGTTATTCGCTTGAAAACTTAGGTGCATAATCGGGAAAGGGGAGAAATATTTCTGAAACATACACAGCAATAACTAGAGAATAGTGAAAGCAAACGGAGTCCCAAACCCGATACGAAGGTAGAATTGGCGGCGTGAACTTGATTTAATGCGGTATGTTGATTACTTGGAGCTTGCCATGCAGTGTTAGCCGATCCTAAAAGGTAGGCATAGCAGACTTAACGTTCAATTTGTCGGTAAACTATGGTGGGCTGTAGAAATACCGAATATTTCCATGGTTTCCAAATAGTTGGCTAAGTTTGTCATTATATTGTACCACTAAGCTCATATTTATATGACCATTCGCATTTTTACCATTTTCCATGAGTGGGCGCATGGTGACACATCAAATGGACTCCGAACGCTTTTTTATTGTGGTCGATTAGGGCCGGGTGACCCCCTCTCCGTATTTCAGCCTACGCCACCCTTGCTCAGTTTAGCGGACACCAACTACAGTTAGGACTCCTTCATCTAGTTTTTGTTCATTAATTCTTCTATCCGATCATGCTAGCGTCTTTACTGTACCCCCCAATTGAGTAATATTTGCGTAATCCGACTAGAATTGTGCCGAAGCCTCGGCCCTGTCTTTGTAAACTTCCTTAACCAGTGCTGATTATTCCAACTGCTCATTAATTAGTACTTTGCTATTTATTAACTTTGGCGATCTTGCTCTTTTTCCTTCTGCAGGCTCTAGGTGGAACTACTTCTGATGCACTTACGGAGACAGATGCTCGTCTTAAACGCCTCGGCTTCCTGATTGATGATGTTGCCTGCTGCAAGATTCTTCGCCATCAGCGTTGGGGCCACCAGGTCTACGTTGGTGTTGTCTTCACAAACGCACCCTCGAGCCTTCCCATGTTGGCCGGCCTTCAGACCCTATCCACTCACTAGAATTGCTGTGCCATGCCCATAAGCCGGATGTGTTTTATTCTTATTTTGATTCTTATTGAAAGGTTCGACCGATGTCCACTTGGAAATACACTATTTTGCCTTGAAAAACAAAACTATTTCTTCACTCTGTTGCACACTATCTACGCCCAGTACAACTTTCTTCGGTGTTTCAGCGTGAGCGCGGTTGAGAGAGTGGTACCCAGTGCGCATTCAACGTGTTCCACTGTTCTCAATATACACATATATATGCCGTCGAAAGGTAGCTGCTCTTTGTTCACTCAATAAGCTTGATTAGGGACACGCACACCAGTACCGTCTGACAGCCCACCAGTCAAGAACAGTAAGCCTTTACAGGGGAAGCAGGCAGATGATGAGGGTGAAGTCTCGTATATCGATAGTCTCTTTTTTGGTAAGCTGTTGCAATTTTTGTCCGTTTCAATAAAAAAAGGTCTTGCGAATCTCCCAAGTCTTGATTTGCTGGTATTGAAATGTGGATTCCTGTGGGTCCATGATTACCCTTTGCACTGCACTTTCCTATCTTTGATTAAACTCATGCAGACGTAGCAGTCATACCAAGCAAAGTGGAGACAACACCACCCTTGTCAATCAAAGGCACCGGTTCTAGTTTGGGGTGATGTTTTAGGCTGTGAAGCCAGATAAAAAGCCTGCGTGCGCTGACATTAGAGATCTGCAGCCGCAGTTTCACCCAATTTGTCACCTCTGACATCTCCAGCGCTGCAGACGCGAAACACGCTCCTCTGTAGTTTTTTAAACGTAGTAGTTGTATCTCTCCTCAAGACGATCGTCACTGCGTGCTTCCTGGTGCTCACCCTAAGAGCCACGCCTACTAGCATAACGTGTTCTGGCGTGTTCCAGGTCTCCGCGTTCTGACTTGCTGCTTCGAAGGACTTCCTTGTGGGCAGGGGTGGGGCAGGCTCTACTGCGATTCAGCATCAGCCCACGTCTTGTTTGAATGCGTGCGAAAGCTGCCGTGTAGCCGGCTCTGTCATGTCGCACATACGGTATCTAGCCCGTCTCGTGAAATGCTAGATAAATTTCTGAAATGGGTTTTAAGCGAGGTGTTGTGATTCTGGTTGTCATGCAGCATAACCCCCCAGATATTTTCGTAACGTCAGGGGGCCAGATTTTGAACAAACTTCTTCCCGGTAATCTAGCAAAACTGCACTGTAAAAACAGAACATTAACGACTTTTAAATTGATTTTTGATGTCCTTAGAAATTCAAATATGTATTTGTAGAAAACATGCACAAAACATGTATTGTGTTTGCTGGGTAGCAAATTACGTCTTCAAAGTTGGCACTCGAAGAAATGGTATTTTTCGGTTTGAGAAAGTTTCTAAATTGCAGGACAATGTCGAACCCTACCGGTCGTTACACTTCAAGTGAAGGCTTCCAAACTACATACTCTATCCGTTCTGCCTAAGGAACAGTGTACTTTTCCCTACGCTATGGGGAATAGGTCACATAATTCTCACAAAATTCGGGAACGGATGTGGATAATGTTGTATATTTTGTAGGTAACATTGATGAATTGACGGATACGATGTATGATGAATAGACGTTTGACGGCCCATGATGAGAAACTTTCTTAAAACTGAAAGATGTCTGAGAAGTCAAGATTGGCAAACGTATGTTTTCAGCAAATCATCGTCAGGCCAGAAAGATGTCTTTTCTTCAATGACGGCATTTGAAGGGTCTTATTCGCTAACCAAGGTGTAAACGAAAAAATATGCTTGGGTATGTTTTCTATAAAAAACATTTGAATTGTAGAGGACATTGAGATCCAATGGGAGAATTATATACTACTTAAGTAGCTTCTTTAGAGAACATACTCATTGCAGGCGGCCAGAAGAAGTTGGTTCCGAAGCCGTCATCTCGCAGTGACTTGAGACCGAACTGCATGCTAATCAATACAACAAACTTACTGTACTCAAATCTGCAGCACATTTGACGTCTTATGAAGTAGGGAATTCACTGCAAAAGAGAATGACGTGACAGTTCCAAACCCAGGGATAGACTTTGCTGAGGTGAATATTGGCAAAGGCGAGTGGCACTGCGATGGCCATTTCTGGCCTCTTAGGCGTCACCAGCCATTTGTAGGATTGCGAGACCCGGGACTCGAACGCAGATTCTTTGGTCACCGACCGTTGTTAAGTCAAGAAGTTTGCCACAGACCGCTTGCTTTGTTGGTTGTAATCGGGGTAATTAACCTCAGTAGGATGTACGTCCAATTATCAGGTTAGGAGGCGTTATTATCCCGTATTTATTACAGATCGCCATGCGACTATCTTCGAATGCTATAGATTTGGCTTTAAACCGCAGCAGAACGAGCAAACCTGAAGAGTGAACGCCCTCTTCGTACTCTGGACATTTGATTGCTAGTTCCTCTTGTTTCTGGACATTGTGCTTCGGAGACGAGCGTCCCCATGTATTTCGTAATAGGTGTTATCTAACGCAGAATAACTCTTTTATCTATATCTATTGTTAGTCCAAACGTATTGCATCTGCGGATAGGAGGTTTGGGCTGTTCATGAAAAGGCCCTGTCTGGTTGGCATCTTCGTAAGAAGATTCAAATTCAAACTATTTGGGGTCTCCCTCATCTAGAAGGATATCTTTTTGACTGGATTGGAATTTTTGTTTGACCAATACGGTGTAGAGGTAGGTAGATAGGTAGGTCCATCGTACGGC